GGTAGTGCTCTGATGAAAGGAACATTGCTCTGGAGTCTTAATCATGTGATTAGAGTGACAGGTTCTAGACATTAACATTATCAACATTGGTTTTACCCATAAATGTTAATTTCATGGTGGTAAACCTATTAAATTCTTTTAAATCCAATTCTTACAACCTGTGCATATATTATTATTCTATTATGTACTGGTACATATTTTAATCAACAATATTACTACCTTTTCTTTCAGTTTGGCTTTTAGCATTGTCAATCCACAAGTAGATGGACTTAAATTGTGCCAAGAACTTTAACAACTTATTTTAGGTGAAACCAAAGGGGAAAAAAGGATTTCGATTTATCAAAACAATGGAGCATTGGTTTCTTAACAGATAGATTTGCTTCAAGACATGATATCTTGTGTCTTAAGCATCACAGTCTTCATCAGTTGAAGAGTTTTAAAGTAAATATTTCTCGGTTTGGAAGCACTTAAGAACTTAAATGTTTTAATTAAGCAATTTACCTTGCCATGTGTTTGTCATTGTTCCCAGAGTAAAATAGGGCCAAGACCAAAACTTTCTCGGCTCTTGCCGCTTGATGGCAAATCTGCATTTCCAAACAAAAATCCAAGAAAGAACAATGTATTGATTTATGCAATTAAACAATTTTTTTGTGAATATCAAAAAGTAAATGTTAAGGAAGCACATGATATGAGAACAATAATTGTGGCTGTCAAATTTTGATACAACTGTGGGTGGCTAACCAGCGAAATATGACAGGTCATCAACACATACCTCCTCGAAGTCGACATTCACAAATAGGGGCTGGACATCTCTTTGCTCAAGCACCTCTTTGAAGCATCGAAAAATTTCACTGAATTGACTATCATCTGAAATGAAGAGAATATAAACATTACCCGTAACAAGTAAATAACTAACAACTGTGAATTCATGTCCTTTTTTTCTACTATACAGATGCAAATTTTCTGGAAATAGGTTAATAATAGTAACATAAAATGTAGTATAGAAGTTATAGCACAAACCTGGCACGGGCTTTACATCCTTTAACTGTTTTCGTTATTTTCTTCAGCTCTATAATTTACCCGTATTTTATTATCATGACTCATTACTTTTTCGATCCTTTCTTCTCCTTTGCTTCTAGCATGACTGTACTAGCAATTAATAAGGCGTCAACTTTCGTAGTTCACTATCACTATAAATTTGTGGGTTGTTTGAATTGATGCTGTTTACAAACCATCAAACCTGCATTCTACCTCTTTCCTGGTGTGCCACAATTGACTTTGTGGCGTTATTTTCTGAGGTTGCTAAGACAGACTTCACTAGGCTGTCATCGTCAGAGTCTGATGTTACAGTAACTGCCTCTGAATTTTGATCCTCCACATCTGTTGCCTGGTCATGAGCTTGTGCACTGGACTTGCACGTAGCACCTAAGATTTAATTTTTCAAATCAGTTTAACGAACTTTCTTGTGGAATGAATGCATATGAAAAAGTGTTTTTTTAAGTTCAAACTATCAGCTGGAAATTATGTCTGGTTGAAAACTTTCAATCGCATACAAAGCTTACACGGACCTCCACACCGGCAAATAACGTATATTTATTTTCTGCTCGTTAGCCTAAATACTTGCAAACATTCGAAAGCTGGTGATCGAATATTAAGAAGTTATTTCACATCGCAATGTTAGGAATTTCCTGATTCCCAGAGACACAGAAGACTCACGTAAATCCACAAGTTTTCTGTTTATTTATTGTTCCGAATTCACTCCAACGATCACAAAAAGATTCTAAAGATCACGCGTTTCTAACCGGAAACGAGATATCACATGATTGAAACTCGAGATGAAATCAACAATAGCTAAAAACAAAACAATAATCACAAGTTTGTTAGCGTGACGACTTGTCACGCTACAGTCACAAAAGTTCTCCACAGGAAAGCTTTGACCAATTGTTTGAGTTTCTTCGATCACATGTATTGGAAAATCCAAGGCTTATCAGGTGGTTGACCTGAGAGAAGCTGACGTCTTACATGCGATCAATGTACGCTACTGAAATACTCAAATCCACACTGAAAATTTTCGAAGAAAGTTGGAAACAGAATTGGGTGACTTATTGCAATTGAAGATCTCCTGGATAATAGAAAGCTTTTTGTTCTACCCCAAACTCTGTCCATCTCAAATCAAGGAAATTCAGCAAGCTGGCCTGTACTTCCGTGATGCACTTCTCCCAAATATTAGTACGATGTCATGGCCTCCGAAACCTGCTGAGCTATGTGAAAGTGCAGTCAAACTTCCAGAAGACCTAGATGCGCTCTATACACTCTCGTAACTGGCAACACACAAATCCCAGCAGAATATCCTGATCGTGTCCGGCACCTTGTTGACTCTTTTGGCCAGGACATCAGTTACGGAGTTACTCCAGGACTAGCACCACCCAAGCAAATACTGTTACCGTATGCCAAACAATGTTCAACTTATCCAGATGCCGCACCGATGTGGGCATGGGATCGTTCCTTTGCCTGAAACTATCAAGCCATATATCAACCCAACACTCACGTGGGATAATATCGATAGATTGGAGGAAACTCTTTCTGGTAGCCACTGGCTAGAGTGAATTTAACATTTCTGTCCGTAATGAAACATCAACATGTCAGAACATTTTTTTAATAGCGAAGTTAGATTTCTCATTTTGATTTGTGTTTATTTTGATTAGATCCCTGAGGTAAAAAGATGGTTTACGAGGAAAAACTCATTTTAAGAAAGAAATGATCATACATGTCTTTTAAGATCAAATATCCTATGAATAAAGTCTTCATTGAAGGAAAACAAAAACTAGAACAGCACAGTATGATGAAATATTCCTTGCATTATGAAACATAAAGTTTTAGGAACATTTACCCTTTATTTTTCAAAATTTATATCTTTGAGATGGTTATAATTTCTGCCATCCCTCTTGTTGTGGAGGAATGAAGTTACTTTGGTACTGGGCCTGGAAACTTTGAACTTTATTCGATACACATATTCAGTGCTTTTCTTATGTGCTGAAATATATGCTACCAGCTATACATTGATTCCCTACCCGTTTACCATACCAAGACATAGAAAATAGAACTTACCTTTACGTATTGTACGAATATCTCAGCGCTAACCTTCCGACCCTATAACACTACACCTTGGGGAAAAAAATTAGGATCACTCAAGGCTTCTGGTAAACCAGACCAAAAACTCTCGATCTAAAACGACCACGATACCTCGTTTTGCCACTCTGCGACATACAAGGCTCGATTACGCAATCAAGTCTCGATTTTGTAATCGAGGCTCGATTTTCCAATGGAGCCTTGTTTCTTTAATCAAGGCTCGTTTCTTCACTTGAGGCTTGTTTTTAAAAGAGAAAGAGAGAAAGAAAAAAAAGGAAGGAAGGAAGGAAGGAGGGAAGGAAGAAAGAAAGAAAGAAAGAAAGGAAGAAAGAAAAGAAGAATGGAGGGAAGAAAGAAAGAGAAAAAGAATACTGCAAGTTGAAAAATTAATAATTTAAACCCATATGCTTCTGTAACTGCAAACTTAGAATCCCTAACATTGTGTGGTTGACAGTATGCACCAAGCAGCAAAAAATAAATAAACAAAAACAAGAAAAATAACGAGAAAATGACAAAAAAGAAAAGAGTAAAAACACCAGGATTAATGAGAGTTTTTATCGTGGGCGCAACAGGTTATTTTCGGTACATTTGAAAAAAGTTATAGTCTGCCTTTAGTAGACTGTAAGCATTCCCTCTTCGTTTAAGAAAAAGCGAAAAGAAAAATAGAGGAACGAAAAATTGGCCTGGCAGCAAATCTGGGTTTCTGGGCGGTCATTAATAAAACACGCTTTTTTTTTTTCACAGTTTAGTTATATTTGAGTGATTCAGTTTTCGTTCATCTTTCCCTCCTTAAATAATCATAATCACAGTTTATTTCATATTATATATCTACAAACTGGAATTTATATTATTTTAAGAACTTAACTGACCCGTGAAGCCCTAAGTCTAGCAATCATAGAAATCCATTTACAGCGCCGTAAAAAAATTGAAAGTTTTTATCGTGGATAGAGCGTGTCATTCATAGCACAGACTAAAACGAAAAAAAAAGTCAGGGTCTAGCTTTAACAGACCAGAGAGCATAAAATAGCGTTAGTTTTGGTGGAAATTTGGGTACTCTCACTTCTTCGAAGAAAAAGCGGCAAAAGAAATCACGTTAAGAAAATTAGCAGCTAATGAGGCTGGCGCGGACCTACAATTAACCAATAAAATATAATATAGTAAATAAAAAAATTTACCCTATTATATTGAAATATACAACTGATCAAAAATAAATAAAGCATCATATCTATAAAATAGAGTACATTGATGAAATAAAATTGCATGTTGCCCAATACAATATAAGAAATATTTAAAGTATCTAATAATAAGCAAACTCGCTTTCCTTATTCTTTATAATCATAGCCTCCTTTTCAAACGATAAATTATGGATATGAAATGCAGATGTTTTTTCAAGTTTATTATGCTGACTCCAGAAAGCTCAACTTTGGTATTTATTAAGTTCCATCGGCAGTTACTTAGTCCTGGCTATTTCTATCTGTCACAGTTTATGTGTGATTTAGTTTTCATTCGCATTTTTCATCCCTATATCGATTATCATCAGAGTCCCTTACATTCATCTATTTTTATCAGTGTGATTTCGTTATGTTCGCAGTTTAAATGAAAGAAGGATCAAACAACTGACATGTAACATTTATTTTGGCAAAAACCTTTTTTTATTTCTACTCTCAATATTTTGATTTTGCAGCGCACCCCTAAAGAGCCTTTTGTAATGTTTGCTTTCGAAAACAGTATTTTTTAATAAATAAAGCTTTAGTTCTTATTACCTTATTACTGTAATAAGTTTCGAGAACTGCAAATGTCAATGGGCTCTTTAAAGTCCAACGTAAACATTAGTTTTGTTGTAATAAAAGTTTCAAGTAATGTGGACGGTTTTATTCTAAAACATCCAGTATAAAGTTTGATGTAGAATCTATTAGTAATTTCACATTTTCCAGGTTAAGTAGTCCTTCTTTGAGTTCATCTGTTGTGTTGTTGCATGACAGATCTACTTTGTTGATCAACATTTTCATGACGTCTGTAAAGGCTGGCAGCCAGACATCTTTACCATTGATTTGTGCACATAAATGTGCAGACATGCCCTTTTCACATGCTTTGACCTTTTGACAGGTGCCACAACTAGCACAAGTAATGACTTTGCAATAAACAGCATATGGCATTTTCTTTTTGCAGTTTGGAATCTGACAAACCATGAAGGTGTTCACTTTATCTGTGAATTTAAATTCCTCTACTGTTATTGTCTTTTTAATGTTGGTTAACAACTCTTTTCCTTTTATGTCTTTCAGTAGGGTATCAATTGGAGTGAACGTGGTTTCTGTTGTTGTTCCGAGGTGCGTCTTCCCATTGAAGTTTTTGACACTGAGATTCCTTATGTCATAGCTTTGTCCAGTGGTGAACGCTGTAATAGTATCATCCCAAAGATGGATGATGACATTGCCTGTTTTGTCTTCGAGAACACAGTCTTCTTTTACCCTCCCTTTGGAACCATTTCTTTTGACAAGTTCTTTTGGCTCCAAAGAACCCATTGTTAAGGTTGCCTTTACGTTCACTCTTTGGTTTCGTGTTAGTTTGTCAAGCTATTGTAATGTAATATCTGTGGCAGATGAGTCAGGGAGGTTGGCTGATGATGAAGTGCCTGCAGGAGAATGCTCTTTGCATGGATCAAAATTGACATCACTTGAATTAGCTTTGATGAGTGAGGTGTACTGGTTTATGAAGATTTGGCCATCATCTTCCCTGGCACTCAATATTTTAGAAGTTGACTTTGTTTTCTCAAAGTGAATGGCTTGCTGGTGGGTTTTCTGGTCAAAAACTTATCAAACTTATCTGGAGATGTTTGGAAGCTAAATGTATAGTAATCTGTACCAGATTTTCCTTTTTTCGTTGGTGACACTGAGTGCACAAAACCAGGTGGAGTATCTGTAAAAAGAAACACAAAAAATCAGAACTGAAGTAAATAAAATTGGAAGATTATAAATGGAAAATTTAGTTTACATATTCTTGTGAAGTGGGAAAATAACAATAAGAGTACAAACCTTTTCGCTTTGATGCCATGGATCTGTGAGTGTAAAAGCACTGAAAAAAAAATCAAAATTCCAAATGTTATGCACCAGTTGTACTAATGATTGCTTGGTTTGAGTAATTTATATACTTTGCTTCTCAGAAAGTTGTCGTTGTATAATAATGGTTATAATAAACTTATTATATTTTACAATTTATTTACACGCAAAAAGTTGTTTGTTTAGTGTATCATGAGAAAAGGAAGTGAAATTTCAGTCAGTTACTTGCCAATATACTCAGTTTTAGGATTACTTTGAACAAGGCAGTGTGACTTACTGTATGTTGATGTTGTTCATTAATAGTATAGGTAGATGTATATTAAATATTATGAATTGGATGATGAAGTTAATACATTGATTTGTAGTTGAGTTTAGTGAATGGAATTTAAGGTGGTATTGTTTGCCAACATAGAAAGGCGCTCTTCTTCTTGTAGCGTGAACTGGAAGTATGATGCATTCTTTATAGTCTTCAAACGTTCAAATGACATTGGCTCAATAACACAAGAATCTAGTATTTTCACCCTTCTGATTGCAACACATGTCATGCCTGCTGTTCGTTCTCGTGGACCAATATCTATTCAAGCTTTTTCTAGAGTAAGTCCCTGGCTTTTGTGTATTGTTGTAGCCCAGGCAAGCCTTAAAGGTAATTGCTGTCTTTCATGAAAAGTATCAAGTGAATGAGATGTTACTGTGATAGGGCACACTGGCACACATTTTGATAGTAACTCAGTAAATGATGGCCCTGTATAATAGTCAAATTTAACCATAACTGCTATCGGTAAATCTGGTGGTGAGTGATTTTCGGCAAATATGATGTCTACAACTTTTCCAGTAGCTCCATTACACAGTCCAACTTCTGACCATAATTTCATTGTAAGCATTACGGAAGCATGTCTGGCAAGAAATAAGATAGGTACTAATCCAGACATTTCATCAGAAGGTAATGAGCTAGCAGTGGAAGATGAATGGCGAGCTTGAATGCAAGCTACTGGTTGAGAAAGCTTCAGCAGTTCTTGGTGATTGTACGCAGCAACATCTTCGTTACCATAAAATAATTTTATAGCATCGTCAAATTCATTTAGATTTGCAACCAGTGATGGTTGACAAGATAAAAGAAGTTGCCAGTCTTGTTCAGTAGAATCACCAGTGCGAAGACGCATCGATAAATTTTTAAAGGCAAGCTGCATAGCACTGGAGCCCTGTACCCTCTGATTGGCAGATAATCTTACTACTTTATCAAACATTAAATATGCAATGTTCCCTTGTTCGCCAATAGGTCCTGTGGGCTTCGTATGATATGAAGGTTTGTCTGCAACAAGTGGTGACTGTGCTGGATCACCTACCAAAATAATAGATTTTCTCCCAAAAATCTCATCATGTACTCCAGTTGCTTGCCTGCATCGTTTGTCAATCCAGCCAAGCAATGTCTGGCCGAGAACAGAATACTCATCAATTAAGATATATTTAACATCACGTAACCCGTCTTGCAACCTTAAAAGAGACTGTCCTTCAAGATCATTGTTACCTCTTGGACCAACAGGTAAATTTAATAATTGTTTGAAATAGAAAAGTCTGCTAAAATCATCCATTCTTCACGTCGCTCTGATTCAGTATACCGTATTTACCCGCGGATAGGCCGCACTTTTTTCCCGGAAAAATGGGACCGAAATTGGGGTTGCGGCTTATACACGGGTACAAGCGTTTTGACACCTCATTAATATGCACGAGAACTCACGGTTGTACAGCAAATTGGCATTTTAATGTTTGCTTTAAATTGTTCCTAAACGCGAAGTCCATATCTTCGGAGAATCTTGATTTTCTCTGCAGCAATGAGCGCATCAAGTTTTTTAACGTGTCTCTTGTTTGAAGATGTCCAAAACAGCTTGCACGGAATAGCCATTCCTCCTCGTGGGCCTTTCGAGAGCTTCCTTTTTCCAGTCACTTTGCAGGAAATTTCACCACCATTCTCTATAAAATAGGATGCAATTCTGATGAATTCCATTGGTAAATGTCCAACAATTTTCTTCCCATTGATGCCAAGTTCTTCATAAACAGCCACTGCAAACTTGTCATCTTCGTTTGACACCTCTCGATCAGTCAATAAGAAATCGCCGATTTTGGGTTTCCAACTGCTTCCATAAACATGATAACCTCTGATTTCACTCTCCATTTCATAAGTGTTAGTAGCTCCATTCATTTCTGCTCTTTAATTGGCAACGTGTGGCTTCTAATGAAGGAAAAGTTTTCACATTTGATCATCACAATGCGATGTGACCTACAACATGGCAGTTCTAGGCACGTGCTTGGCAATCTATGTAACCATAGTAACGCATGACCTTTGCTCCAATAGCATAAGACTTCAATAAAGGCCGTGTTTACATTGTGTGACAGTAAGATTTGAAATCATTTCCATCAAATCATGAAACCAAAAGGTTCTTCTAGGATATCGTATACAGCACGCTTTAAACTTACCGTTGTTACTTACGCTTTAGAGAAAGGAAATCGAGAGGCAGCACGCCAGTTCCAAGTTGACGAGAAGAATGTTCGAAGGTGGCGCTCACAGCAAGAAAAATTAAAAGGTCTTCGTCGCGATCAGAGAGTGGCACGGTATTGCCCAGCTAAATTTCCTGAATTGGAGAAAGAACTGAAGGAATGGATTGACGAGAAGAGGAAGGCTGGTATTGGAATTTCCACCACAGTTATTCGTCTGAAAGCAAAATCGATGGCAAAAGCGAGAAACATTGCTGAGAGTGAGTTTAAGGCTTCAGTACACTGGCATCATCGCTTCATGGGCCGACATGACTTGTCGATCCACCGAAGAACAACAATTTCACAGAAACTGCCTGAGAACTTTGAGGACAAACTTGAGAAATTTCAGGCTTTCATCATTGCTGAACGAAAAAAGCACAAATATGAGCTCTCGTTGATTGGAAACGCAGACCAAACCCCGCTTACTTTTGACATGCCTTCAAATTCTACGGTGGACTCAAAAGGAACAAAATCAGTGTCGATCATGACAACTGGTCACGAGAAAGATTGTGATTTTGATCTTATCGACTAAAATAGTCTCCTCGTTTTCCTCTTCAATCATTTCCACATCTTGTGCGACCATCTCATTTTTTAACTACTACTATTTTGCAAGTGGAGTGGGTGGGTAGCCTGTGGAAGGGGGGCTACTGAAAGTGGCACCTTCCACCCTCTGTAGATTTTTCCACTTGTCTTGTTTGAGCAGCCAAGAATTTCTTGCTCATTACTGACTATATTACAGGTTAAAAAGTTAGCGTATCCTTATAAATACCAACTAATGGCTTATCGATCACTATGCTGCTGTTTCAATGAATACTAAGCTATAAGGTCTGACCTTTCTTGGTCAAAAGTTCTGTCCAACAGCCTTCACATATACAATCACTATGCTGTTGTTTCAATAAATACTACGCTAAAATAAGTTAAAATGTCCGACCTTTCTTGGTCAAAAGTTCATGTCCAACAGCTTTCATATATACAATCACTATGCTGTTGTTTCAATAAATACTAAGCTAAAATAAGTTAAAATGTCTGACCTTTCTTGGTCAAAAGTTCATGTGCAAGAGCTTTCATATATACAATCACTAAGCTATTGTGTCAATAAATACTAAGCTAAAATAAGTTAAAATGTCTGTCCTTTCTTCGTCAAAAAATCATATCCAACAGCTTTCATATATACAATCACTAAGCTGTTGTGTCAATAAATACAACGCTAAAATAAGTTAAAATGTCCGACCTTTCTTGGTCAAAAGTTCATGTCCAACAGCTTTCATATATACAATCACTAAGCTGTTATGTCAATAGATACTAAGCTAAAATAAGTTAAAATGTCTGACCTTTCTTGGTCAAAAAAATCATGTCCAACAGCTTTCATATATACAATCACTAAGCTATTGTGTCAATAAATACTAAGTTAAAATAAGTTAAAATGCTTGACCTTTTTTGGTCAAAATATTTCGTTCGAAAATGGTCTATTATTAAACATAACCATACACAGAAACAAAGGAAAACGATTTATTGAACCAGATTAACATTCAATATGCTGTTTCCATGGCAACCCCAATATCCATAATGATATTAATGATATTTAAAGCTAATTAAAAGGCTGTGCACACTGTAGTTAAAGTGAAAGGGAAGGTATATGAACAAAATGTCAGAACAGCACCACAGGAAAGTGCTGCTCATCAGCTTTCATCTGAATAGTTACACTTTTAAGATCTCATCCACAGACTCACAGTTTTAGTTCAGTTTTGTTTATTTTGTCACAAAAGGAATACATCTGAACAGAATGGTGTCACTTACCAATACAAACTGCACATGAAAATGAATTTTGTTTGACTGTGATTCACCATGTAATGTACCAAAAAGGGATCTAAAGCAAGTTCTCTCCCTTCTTAACGCTTGACACAATTTTGGTCCGCAAATTGTTAGAGCACACTCTGCATTTTCCATCTGTTGACTTTTTCTCCTGAAGCCCACAATAACAGAATGCTGGGTCTGAATTGATCACCTGCTTCGGAATATAAGACAGGGTGGAAGAATTTACATTAGAACAATTGTAACCTCTTTCTCTCAACCACAAAAAGGAAACAAATTCGTGGAGAGAGATCTGTTCCCATCTGGAGTGAAACATCGTATTCTGACTATACTTTGATATGAACACATGCTTGGCCTCTCGCCCTTCCATGGTGTTGAGACCAAGGCCAAGCCCATACTTTCCCTTCATGTACTTGGTGTGGGCAGGTACAAGATGACCAATGGTCCAGACTGTGGGATTTACATAAAAGAAAATGGCATTTGCTCTAAAGTAGTTTGTGCAGAGGGTTTTCAGTTCACTCACCTGTTCATCTGATATATCTAAGCGACTGAAAAGAGAAACACAGTCCCTCAAACAAAGGCAAATGTAAGCAATAACATGGAGAATTGTGGCCCCTCTGCCATGAGCATTAGCACTGCATTCAGTGGCTGAAATCAATGACATAAAATGTAACAAAAACAGCCTAGAATCCTTCCCTGTAAAGCGATAATCAAAAGATTTGCCATTAGCCTTAGTCTCGTCAAACCATTTAGTGGCCTTTTTAGCCAACCTGGATAAACCACATTTACGCATAGCTACAATGTACCTGTTGAAAGGAGACTGTTTAGGCACCTGTGAAAAAGAATTCACTTCATCAGTTAGTTTTGACATTAGCAATGACTTCATTTAACAGTTGCTGATGAGCTCGTGCACAAGCATAATTCTTTAAGTGCAGGGGATCCACATGCACCAGGTCAATCAATTTACCAACAACTGGCTCAAATTCCTGGCGGCTGTGCTTTTGGGCAATGAAAGACGTTATTTTAGATCGACGAGTGGATGCAGCCATTTGCTTCTTTGCCAGGGACTTTTTTAAGGTGCCAACCTGCTTAGCAACATTTATTCTGGTCTCATATCTCCACGGCTTCCACACTTCCTTTCCAGTAAATCCAAATGTGCCATCAAGTTTGTTCATAGTGTCACTGCTAACATCTGCAAAAGTTGAAAAGTACATTGCAGCATTAGATAATTCGCCAGCAAGGAATGCCAACATTTTCATGTCATTTGGAAGTTCTGAAATCTTAAATTTAACATCAATGGAGGTGTAACAACCGCTAGTCTTCTCAGTATAAACAATGCTTTAATAGAACAAACTTCTCCGACTCGAGCTGACAACGTGGTAATGCAAAGTGTTGCTAATGCGCATGTGCGAACTGAACTATGTTGCAAATCTTGGGATACTGGACTGGATATTACAGGAGGTGCCATTACAGTCTAAAGAAAAAGTGCTCTTCTCTAAATCACTGATATCACTTACAACCTTTTTTAGAAAACGTGCAACTGGAATGCAATCCTCCTTGCAATTGGCCCCAAACAATAGATAATTCTCATTACTGCTGAGGACTCCTCTGCCTATATTTAGGAAACTGACAAGCCAGGCACATGCAGTGTCATCTTTCCCAAATGGAGCTCCATCACCACCAAGAGAAACTTGGAATGTGTTGACTTCGCCTCCAAACCATTCCAGTTTATACCTGCTCTGACAAAGATAAAATTTAGCAAGGTAAAGCAACAACTGTTTTATGTCCCGATACATACCATCCACTTTGTCCTCTTCTGCAAGTCCTTGACACAGTGTCTCCCTGACACTATAAAGTTGACCAATGTCAATAGACTTAATAAAAGGCATCAGCCTATTGTATGGGACAAGCCTTGGGACAGGACAGTAATTAACAACAATGCGCACAGCCTTAGCACTATTTCTTTTATAACTACTATCCCTGTATGTGGCCCGATACTTTCGTTTCCCTATAACACCCCCACTATAGTAGACAGCAATGCTCCTTAGCATATTTTCATCTGAATTTTCATAAACTTTTAGACTTTTTTTGTAAATCTTAGGTATAACCCTATGAGTAACCTTGTCACTTTTGGAAAAAACTTCAACCAGAATCTTATCTGAACATTTCTTTACAGTAGTACTACACAGGCCCACTTCTCCTGGTACTCGGCCGTTCTTTTCATTGCTTCCTCCATTTATCTGACATGCAGCTTCAAACAATTCTGATCTTCTCTTTCTTCCTACAGATGGACTTAAGCTGTCAGCCAGATCTGTTGGGTTTTTCTTTCATTCACTTAATGACTTAGCTGGGAGATACTTGCCGGCTTTCTTCCTTTGTGTACCTACATCTGCCCTCAGCTCATGGTGTATGTCCTCTACCTCTTCTATCTCCCTAACTACCTCCTCTACCTAAACATTAAGACGCTTACTATGAGTCTAACATACTGCACAGGTTCTCTCTCCATTACCTCCTGGGGAAAGGGAGGGTGGACACTACTAGTATTCTGTCTCATTGGTGTTCCAGGGGAGCCCAATACAATATGGATACATTATACAAAGACTGTACATGCATGTGAAAGGTTTCAAAGCCCTGGAATAAAAAAATTGTTCTCAACAATTCTCAGACAGTAGTATTGATCTCATTTTCTAGGAAATGACAATGATTCACAGTACCTTTGTTTCTAGACGTCGCAACTTTGCTTTCTTTGCCCTTAACACATTTGTTTTCTCAGTAATCTCCAATTTTTTTGCCTTCAACTCCAGGTCTTGATGGTGGATTTTCTCAGTTTCCTTTACTTTTTGCTCCCTTTTCTTCTTTTGTAATGCCATAAAAGCTCCAACCTGAAATCTGTTGTACTTTCGTTTCCTTGAACCAGCATCAGACAGTTGGCTCTTCTTAGGAAGCAAGGTAAACTGGTTGTGTTGGTAGGTGCATGTGGTTTAGTGATGCATCCAGTAGTAGTGAAGCTGTTATAATAATTAATGAAAATAAAGGTACAATTAAATTCTCTGAACTAGTAAAATAAAATTTAAACAGTTGTACAAGTCTTCTATTTAGAATTAATGGTAGTAGACACGCTTGATGTGATTTTCTTGTTGCAAGATATTTAAGCTTATGTGATGGAACAGTTCACACATTCTGCCATTGTGCTGCTGCTAATATTAAAAGACCCAAATTAAACATTGATCTACATTGTTTTTAAGAAAACCTACATGCTAAAATAGCTCACAAAGATCTAGCGCTGCTTTTAAATTAAATGAATCAAGTAATGTCAGCTTATTGTTATTGTATCTTACCTTTCTGATGGAAACGCATGTCAAACGCACACCGGGAAGCGTGGCCGGTCAGATTTGACACAGCCACAGTCGTTGGTCCCTGTTCAGTAACATAAATTGCAGAATTATAGTGTTAGTTTGTGTCAAAACTCAGCGCGCATGATTCTTTCTTGAAAAAAATAAAAACTTACGATCAAAATCTGATCCACTGTGAAAGCTGTGAAAGTAAACTTAAAAGATTTTAACAGAATCCGACAAAAATGAATGAAGACAAAAAAATGCCTATTTTCAAATCGGAGTAATGAAGACGAAAATCGGTTGTAGTGACCAAGCATTGATGCCGAGAAAACGAAAAATACTTACCCATGTTTGGTACCAAAATAAACCTCACATAAAGATCTTCAAAGATGGCTTCCCTAATTTCCGCTTTTATCCACCTACAGCCTTCTGGGAAGGGCTAAAAAGAGGTCATAAGCCCATTCCTAAATTCGTACTCAGTCTTCCAGAAAAAGAGCGCGTCCAACATGGCGACCAGTCACGCGAGTGTCGAGCGATTTTGAGGAAACCTATGCCCACCGTGCACCCTTTAACCCCCAGGAGTGACCTAGACAGAATTTATCCTTAGAATATCAACACCGCATCAACCAGAGAAGTGATGAGAATAAAGAAAAATATCAATTTGTGGATAATTAGTTGATCCAATACTAAATTCCCTGAACTAACATAACAAGGATTGTATGGTTGACAGGAGAATAACAAATTTGATCTGAGAGTTAAAGAGTTAACACAAACTTCCTCATATGTCAAGGTAAAAAAGATTGGCAAAAGAATCTCCTCGTGGGTTGATGCTGCCTCCATCAGCACATGTTCACAGGAAAGCACTTCCTGTGTTCTGTCCATATCATTCAATGGCAGTACAAAATTATTATGAATGTGGTTTACAAATAGTAATGGTATTCAATTGAACTGTCATCCATTAAGGTTGTTTGTGCCAGAATCTTCCCACAGTCTTTTTTTTTTTTAACTTTTGTTGTAGTCTGCTTCTGGCCAACTAATGCCAAGAGTGTGTGAATGAAAGTAAAGGTATCTGTTTCTCCTTTTTTCTTTTCACTGATAGTAAAATGCAATTGTTACTCATTAAATGATCATTAAAAGATAATCACCGGTTATATTGTTATTGTTTTGTTTTGTTTTGTTTTTTTTGTTTTTCCTTTTACCTAATGAAGGGCAAAAAATTTTTAGTTTTGGATTTCAATTCCTGTTTTGTCTGTACTTAAACAGTTAATCTACCAGTGCTTATAGTCTACAGTGAAATGTGAACTGGGGATTAATAAAAGCTTTTTAAAAATATGTTTAGCTGAAAATATGAAACAGATAGCAACATAAGATATAAGGAAGCCTGAGTCATGCATTTTAAGCTAGAATGCTGCTTTTGGCAAGATATTATTTTGTATCTAGTGGAAATTTTTCTATTGTCATCATCCAGGGAGAGCCCTGCATTAAAGTGCATTGAATTATTGACAATATTTCCAACATACCTTGAGCATTCTGATTGAGAATTCCCAAAGAACTCATGTCTTCTTCTACAATCCCAGCTGAAATGAAGTGGCATAAAATTAAATGAATATCAAGACATTAATTATTGTGCATTCCTTTATGCTATGAAACTGAATGAGTGAGTCAATCTGTCAGTCTATATCACACCATACTGTAGCATAGTAGAATGTCCTATTCTCCATTTACATGAGACCCAGTTGTTCATCTCTTGAATTTTAATTAACACATTAAGTAATTAAAATTATGTTAAAGTTAATCCAACATTTGTTTTTCTAAGTGTATGTGTTTTATAATCCGTTTTATAGAAACATACCTTTTTGCCACTGTTGTATGCCAGTTAAATGACATGCTATTCACCCTATGCAGAACGAAAAGAGACTGGGAGTGATCAACTTGAAAACGAGGCTAGTTGGGCCTTGTTTACTCGTGTTAGAAATATGGCCGCTCATGGCTCTGTAAGTAGCCGTCTTTCTCAGAGTCTTATGGAGGAAGATATCCCCGGAGCATCGCTTCAGGGAAATCCGACTGCTCTTAAAACAGATGAACTTCGCTTTTGGTTAAAATGTCGTGGTGATCCAGCAAAGGGGTTAAAAACAAAGGCACAATTGTTGAAAAGGTAAGTACAGTATTGTTATTTGTTCGTGATACTTTTTAGAATTAAAAGAGACTTTGATATTGTAAATGGAGATCAAAAGATTTAGGAGTTATTTTTCTCGATGAAATGTTTCAAAAATGTAATGATTAATAGTTTTTCTACTTTTCATTTTGAAGAGTTCTTGAATATGTTGTGTCTGGTCGTGATAAAGATGTTGTGGATCCCGATAAAAATCTGATATTCACGCGTCGAAAGGCGAGACAAGAACAACTCACTCAAAGTGACGCGATGCCTGAGGAAAGTACTGTTAAATTTCCATCAGCCGGATGGTCTACAAGTTTGCAACGAATGCCATTATTCACAAGGGCAGAGATGGATTTACATATTTCTAAATCTGGAAAAAACTTTGACAGAAATAAACAGAACCATGCTGTTCCAACAAGCATGAAAAAGGCAAAAACATTTCTTGAAGATGAATACCTGAAAGACTTAACTTGCGCAAGTGATGACCAATATTTCTATTTCAAATGCTTGTGTTACCATAGCTTTAAAAAAATGAGCCACCCCACAAATTATAAGTTGCACTTTGTTTAGTGAGTGGAGTTGTTAAATATGCTTCGTGTACATGTATAGCAGGATCTGTTGGTTTTTGCAATCATGTGCTTGCTGTTATGATGAAACTCTGTAAGTTCAGCTTGTATTGTTGTCAAGGTATTAAGGACTTGGAAAATGAATCTGATATGACACAAGCTAAGGCATGCACTTCAAGTTTACAACTATGGCACAGGCCTGTAAGAGGAGATAAAATCAAGCCCCAACCTGTCATGGAACTTGAGGTAAAAAAGTCAAATATAGACACAGAGTATAACCCTGATAGTGGAGTAAGGTGCTTGTTGTATGAAGCTAGGAAAAATTTGGGTACACAAGCATCTGATGAAGCTTTGTTAAAAAACAAGCTTCAAGAGATCAACCCTAAGTTTGCCTTGTCTCAAATTATGTCTACTGGTGGTACCAACTTACAGGAAACAAAATTTGGAAAATGTCCAAGTGGCTCATATGCAAGTTACCAGTTACAGTTCACAGAGTCTAATTTTCAAGTTTTCTGTAATATTGACTCAGTGCCTAGAGTGGACTGTAATGATGAACAAAATGCTATTTCCGTATATCCTCCATTCCCTTTGCAACAATCTGAGCAGTATGAAAAGCCAGATGATTTAAGCAGCATCCAGGAAGCACTCCTGGATCATTTGATTGTTGATGAGGCAAAGCTTAATACCATAGAGAAGAAAACAAGTGAACCAGCAGCCTCACAGGAATGGCAGGCTGAAAGGAAATTTCGGTATACAGCATCTAATTTCCACACAATTGTAAAAAGGCAAAGGAATCATAACACTCTAGTAAATAATCTGCTTCATCCCAAACCATTCACTGCCAAACAAACTGCACATGGGAAAACCTATGAGCCTGTAGCCTTAAGAGAATATGAAAAATATATGTTTTCAACAAGGAACCCAGTTTCAGTGTTCAAAAGTGGCCTTGTTGTCAGTATGGCCTCTCCCTTTTTAGCAGCATCACCAGATGGCAAGGTCATTGACCGAGGCTGTAGCAAGCCTTTTGGGCTGGTAGAGGTTAAATATCCCTACTCTAAATTTCATGTGAGTCCTTTAGAAGCATGTGCCGATGAAACTTTTTATGCAGAAAATGTAAATGGAAAGCCGAGGCTAAAAAGGGGGCACCAGTACCACTTTCAGATACAGGGTCAACTAGGTATTACAGGAGCAAGTTGGTGTGACTTTGTTATCTATACTAACAAAGGCATGAGTATAGAGAGGATCACATCTGATCCTCAATTCTGGGACTTATCGAATGAAGGCCTAAAGAAGAGCTATTTTGAACATTTCATAGCACCAGCTTCTGTGGAGTTCAGTAACCATTAGAAGGGTTAACTACCCTAATCTAATCTTGGAACGAGTACAGAGAAATTTTGTGTCTCATACCTAACTTGATATGTTTAAAACTGAGTATCAACCAACATGGTCTGTATAATAAGATAGCTTTCTTTATTTGTTGATTTTAAGATCTTTAGAACTCCATGTAAAAGCTGACATCTTTTAAGTGTTTGGGACTGAAAGCAAGCGAATCACATTCTTAGTTTTAGTTGGTTTAGAGAATATTTGACCTGAGGTGGATAAGCAGGTTTACATTTATTAAATTGACTGAAATTCTGTGGTGTGCCTCAGAGCTCTGCCTAACTCAGTGTTAAGTGGAAATAAGAGGGTCCTGAATGTTACATAAAAAGGCACAGACACTCCACATTTGGTTTACTACCCCAAACAAACTGAGGGGTACAACACTATCCCATAAGTGAAAATTCTTGATTTTATTGATGGCCCGTTCAACGTGTACTCTAACAGAAGCAATTTCTTGAGTCTTGATAACATCTTCTGCTGTCATTTGGCTATTAGACCCTAAAAAGGGGGGAATGTTTAGGGTTACACCTAGTGGGAGTAGGTCTTCAATTGTAAAACCTTTATCAGCCATCACAGTGTCACCATTGTCAAATTCTAACTTCAGGAAACCACTTCGTTCAACAATTTCGCGATCGGAAATGCTTCCACTATATAGCTGACTGATAAAAGTTATAGCTCCACTGGGAGCAATTCCAACTAAGCCTTTTAGAGTTACATGGTTCTTATAGGAGCTGAACAATTTGGAATTCAACAGAAGGCTGGAAGGCATTTGGCATCTAATTTCTGTACAATTGATTATTACACGGGTGCAAGAGTATTTCTCTTTAAAGCTGTCAGGCATTGTAGCTCTTCTAACCTCCCTGTTAGGCCATATAGATACTTGACCAAATTTTAAATACATGTAATTTATCCAAGAAAGGAATGTTCTGCTTACTGTCGACTGCGAAATACCAAACAAGTGAGCTAGATGTTTTTCTGCAAATCCCCTTCTCAGTCTGCAAAGAACAAGGAAGAACTCCTCTCTGGGTTCTAAGCTTCTTCGTCTACCTATGCTAGTACATCCCTCTGGTTCCTCGTTTCCACTATCGTAAAACTCCTTTTGGACAGTTCTTTCTTTTGATGAACAGTACCTAATGTTTTCCCCTTTCGATCCAGTATTTAAAAATTCAAACACAACATTAAATGTTGCTAAATTAGGAAATCCCGTATAAAAGGCAATGTCCTCGTCGGTAGTAAAATTGCGTATCTGAAAAAGGCGGGAATCTTTAAGGCTCCTCTGGCGTTTTAATACCTCTATTTCAGCCTTTAACTTCGCATTTTCAAGTTCAAAACCTCGAATTCCTTCAAGTTTTTTAACTTCTTCTGTTTGATCTTCACACGAACTTAAGCTGTTTTCCACGTCATGATAACTAAAAGCTGCTGATGAAGTACAGGTTTCAGAAGTTGCTTCAGCGGCATCTGCAGTTGTTTGACTTTGAGATGATTGCAACTCCTTGTTTGAACACTCTGTTGTAGACGAAAGATTGCGACATTTAGGAGGTGCTCGCTTTTTCGGAGAACCTTTGGACCACGAAAAATCGAGATGGAATTACCCCTGCCTTTACATAAACACGCTGACCTCCAATAGCTTTAACCAAGTCCTCGGGCTTAAAATGACGAGAACAGATCTTCGTGTTTTGGTTGACTCTAAACGCTTTTCCTTCGTCTCGACGAATGGCATGGAGCCAACGTTTTTTGACGATAACGTCGTCTGGAAACTTCAAGTAAGAAATTTTCTCCCCGTTTTCGGTTCTGTAATTCTTTTTGGTACAGTTTGGAACACAACAATTTTGCGGCATTTTCAAAAACTGGCGCCCTTCACATCAGGCGGCCATTTTTATTTACCAGGCCCAACTAGCCTCGTTTTCAAGTTGATCGCTCCCAGTCTCTTTTCGTTCTGCATAGGGTGTATGTTGAAAGGGAAAAAAAATCATGGAGTAAAAATTTTGTCTTTTTTTAAAAATTAATTTCTTTCATTTCTCACATAAATTTGGTTGATTTACTTCACACCTCATGTGTAAACTTGGCTTAGCCTAGGGTGCACAACTAAGTTGCCTCTTAAATGGTAATTTATGATGCAATTGGAAATCATCCATGTAAACTACCTGCAGTAATAAACTAGATTTCTAGCATAATGTACATGCTGTTTTCAGAAAATATCCATCGCCACCCTAGGGATTAATCCAAATCAGGATTGGGGTTGGGGTCTGCAAAAAAAACGAGCATTTAAATGTTCTTTAATCAGTCATCATCATATTACCTGAGTCAACATTTACTGGGTTACTAGCTAAATAGCTTCTGTCAAGTTCATCGTCATTGATATCATCTAAAGCAATGACACCATCTGTTCAAAAAACAACACAACACACATAGGCGTACGGGCATTTTTTTGCCAGGGGGGGGCGGTGAACCATTTGCCCAAAAAATTCTCACAAGTTGCCCAAACTTTTACGAAACAGTCGAAAGGAAACAAGGGTCATATGATGCACTAACAATGGCCTACATATGAAGTGAAAATATTCTTACCTATGAATCTATCATATGAGCTCAAAAAACACTTTAAAACTTAAAAGAAATAACTGTCTCTGCCATTTCGATGACCGAAGATATCAATGATACGATCCATGTCATTGTTGACTACAGAGTTGGCATACGCCCTTTCAATGTTGATAAGTGCAATGTTGCTGACACGTTGTTGCCCCATGGTGCTGCAGAGGTAAGTTTTCAATCTGCGCTACGCACTGAATAATCGCTCTGCTGAACACGATGTAGCAGGTATCACTGCAAGGATATGCACCACACTGGAAAACTCTGGAAACATATCGAATAGATCATTCTCGCGAATTGTCTCTAGCATTTCTGAAACAGTCATGTAGCCCAATCCGCGCACATGACGAAAACTCGCGTGCATTTTCTGCTCGGCTTCCAGAATCTCGCCGTCGATGTTGTAAAACTTAGCAATGCGGGAGAAGCTTTCTTTATCAGGTGTTTCACTGTGGCAGATATTTCCCAAAGCAGAGAGGATTTCCTGGTCATTTCCGCTAAACCTGAACTCAAGCTCGGACAGCACCTTGTCGATGGAAGCATAGTAGGTGTTAATACGGTGGTGCGATTCCGGTGTCAGCTGCGTTTGTCGTTGCGCGTGTTCACCTACAAGGGCTTGAAGGCAGTGCGATGGCATCTGTCTGGGTGCCCTGGCCTCTCGTAATTCAAACTCAGAATTGGTCAGCCACTTCTTAATTTTCAGACCCACTGCTGATGCTAACTGCCATACGCTGTTGAAACTTTCTTCGTTCCGACACTGGCGTAGGGTCTGAATGGTCATGTCTGCATTTCTACGAGCGGAGATGACGTCAACCGTCTTCCCCTGAAGATATCGACACAAACTACTGGTGTTGCTCAGGATTACTTTCAGCAAACACAGTCCGAAGATAAACCCCAAGTCACAAATGGCGGTCAACAAGGCTCTGCTCTCAGAGTAGGTTTTCGGATCTTTGTCTGCAGACAGCGTGAGCAGAGCTTTTACAATATGTTCCATTTGCCCGTATACGGCTTTTACGGCTTCCCACCGGCATGACCATCGCGTGGCACTCAATGACTTCAGCGTCAGTTTCAGATCCTCGCCTTGTACTTCTGCGTCACTAAACAAGGCGTGTCGTTTGGGAATCACATCTAAAAAGTTGTGCAGAGCCTGGATAGTTCCCAAAGCGTTTCGCAGTGGTTCAATCTGTGTCATAGTATCCTGAAGTGCTAGGTTGAGCACATGCCCGTAACAGTGGACGTGAGAGAGAGAGAGAGATAACTTTATTTATACACTGTATTTCCATCAGTTGTTAATTATTTATAAAGGTATATCTATCTTCCTAACTATAATAAAATCTAATAATAACAATTCAAATAAAAGAAACATAAAAAACCTGCTTTTCATGGAGGCCGTGTCTAAAATTTATTTAAAATTAAGATATTACTTTAAAACTGTGGCGACTTAATTTAGATTTGAAATCGGTCAGTGATGATGCTTGTCTTAGGTCTCGGGGTAAGTCGTTCCACAAGTGAGCTCCGCTGTACAAAAAACTTCTCTTAAGATAATCAGTTCGAGGTTGTGGAAGAACTAATTTGTTTTCCGTATTCCTTAAACGATAAGCACTTATATTGTCACGATATACAAATCTTGATCTTAGATAATCTGGTGTCATACCATGTAAAGTTTTATACATTAAGATAGATTTTTGTTCCAATCTTTGATAGTAGAGTCTTCGCCACCCTAGTGCCCGGAACAAATTATCTAAATTACTATCATAGCTCGCAGACATTAGGATACGAGCTGCCCGATTTTGAAGCCTTTGCAGTTTTTCAGAAAGGCCCTTGTTACAGTTTCCCCACACTACATTACAATAATCAAAATGTGGTTGAACAAGGCTATTATAAACTTTAATTAGAACATTAAATGGAGTGAGGTGCCGAATTCGTTTAATTGCACCAATGGCACAGGCTATCTTAGAGATGTTTTCAATATGACACTCCCAGTTGATATTTTGATCGACATAAACTCCAAGGGACTTAGCGGAGGTTACTTGTTCTATTGCGATTTCGTTTATAGTAAGAGAAGGACTTTCCATAAATTGTGATAACTTCTGCCTTGATGCAATAAGCGTAAACTCCGTTTTTGTCATATTTAGGGTAAGCTTGTTAGCACTCAGCCATTCGTACACATTACTCAGGCCGTAATTAAGGCAATAATTTATATGATCAAAGTCAGTACTGGCAAGCGTCAGGCTGGTATCATCTGCGTACATTTTGGGTTCCGAATATGTCAGACAATGTGGTAAGTCATTAATATATATTAAAAACAGAAGGGGTCCCAAAATTATTCCCTGGGGAACACCACATCTTAGATATTTCGGAGTTGACGTACAAGAATTTACATG